TTAAAAATTCTGTTAAAATCTTAAAAATACCGAATGTAGCTTTTATATTAGGGTCTATACGACGACATGGACCTGCATATGTAACTTTTGTCATAGGCCATTGCAATATTCAAATGCGAAACTAAAAAAATCTATGAATAATGTAGCTAAAGGCATAAAAATACGGAATATCGGGAGGTACCGTTATATGTAGGCAAAACGAAGACCTGCGCAGACAATTTTGTGTCATAGGGTGTGGTATCCATTACGAACTTCTAATACCAAATTAGAAAGAATTCCGGTGAATAATGTCGCTAAAATCATCAAAATACCGATTATAGGGAGGCTATACGAAGATGTGAACCTGCAGAGGCAATTTTCTGTCTTAGGCTGTAGTATTTATTACGAACTTCAAATACCAAATTAGAAACAATTCCGGTAAATAATGTCGCAAAAATCATTATCATTAAATCGTTATATGGGGGCTATAAGAAGATGTGGACCTGCAGAGTCAATTTTCTGTCTTAGCCTGTAGTATTTATTACGAACTTCAAATACCAAATTTGAAAGAATTCCGGTGAATAATGTCGCTAAAATCATCAAAATACCGAATATCGGGAGGTACTGTTATATGGTGGCTATAAGAAGATATGGACCTTCAGAGGCAATTTTCTGTCTTAGGCTGTAGTATTTATTACGAACTTCAAATACCAAATTAGAAATAATTCCGGTAAATAATGTCGCTAAAATCATCAACACACCGAAAATCGGGAGGTACCGTTATATGGGGGCTATAAGAAGATGTGGACCTGCAGAGGCAATTTTTTGTCTTAGGCTGTAGTATTTATTACGAACTTCAAATACCAAATTAGAAACATCTCCGATGAATAATGTCGCTAAAATCATCAAAATACCGAATATCGGGAGGCTATACAAAGATGTGAACCTGCAGAGGCAATTTTCTGTCTTAGGCTGTAGTATTTATTACGAACTTCAAATACCAAATTTGAAACGATTCCGATGAATAATGTCGCTAAAATCATCAAAATACCGAATATCGGCAGGTACCGTTATACGGGGGCTATACCATAACGTGGATCTACATGGCCCATTTTCAATACCAAAAATCCTGCAGACATAATATACATTTGAGCAAAATTTTATCAATCTACTTCAATTCGTTCGGAAGCTATAGTGATTTCCACAGATGGATAGACGGACGGCATCGCTTAATAGATATAAAATTTTATGCTGATCAAGCACCGCTTTATGAGGTCTAAAATGTAAAATGTAAAAGGATTAAGCCTGACCATTTTGCAACAACAATACTTGCAACTAATAATAATTATAAAAAAAATAAAAATCTTTGCAACTAATAATAATTATCTTTTTTGCTTTTCTCCATTCAGGCAACGGAGCTTTGTATCCCATCTATCTGAATTGTTGGGTACATGTCATTATGTATACGTATTATTTGCTAGCCAATGTGTGTAGCGCCGAGTTCATGCGACATCTGCTATGGCTAAAGAAATCCATTACCATCATACAAATGATCCAGTTTGTGTTTATTTTGTTCCAAGCGGTCATGATGTGGAGCCGTTGCATGATACCGGCCATCTTGAGATGGTATTATTGTATGGTGGTCAGTGTTATATTTTATGGATTTTATGATTTCTATAAGAAGGCCTATAGTCGTCAGGCGAAAGCGAGTGGAGAAAATTGACATTTGAAAAAATAATAATAAAAAAAAGAATTGCATCAAAAAATAATTTATATTTTATGTATGTGTGGGGGGGGGGGGTTGGTTATCATTGCCTGGGTTTGTTTTGAATTTTTTTTTTGAACAAAAATAGATTAACGATCATTGTCCACATTTTTTATTAATTGATTTTAATTAATTTCTCTACTGTATTTTGCAGATAAGATAAGTGACAAACGAATATTCCATCAGTTCCATGAACTTTTGGTCAATAAAACAACAACAACAACATAAAAAAGAAAATGAATGTCGATTCAAATTCATTTGCAATATGTGTAGTGTTATAGGATTTTTATACATTGTACTTTAATTTCCGCTAAATGATTAATTTGTTTTAAATTAACATTACAATGTTAAATTTAAACGACAAAGACGACTATGTGTGTTGGCAGACAAGCTGCTGAAATGCTAAAAAAATTAATTACTTCATCGGTTTGGTGGAACAAAAAATAATTCGAAAGACATTCGTAAATGGAAACAAGTAAGCAAAGGCTACAGTCGAGCGGGGCCGACCGTTGAATACCCTACAACACTATAATAAACGATACAGATTATATAGGTGAGATACTCGAAAGAATTCCACAAGATATTGTGACAAATAATAGAAGAAAAGCATCAGGTTTCGGTCTCTAATTTTCGAATAATAGAAACTTGAACTAATTTGCTCATTTCCAATTTATTGGAAGATGTTGCACGTAAATGGTCTTCCTAGATCTGGAACAAATATTTCCCAAAGACCTATAATCTCTCAGAAGTGGCAAAAGATTAACATTTATTATTGGTTTTTGACTGAAACGCATCTATATGAGATACAGACATTTGACTATATTCGTTAACGAAATTGTCAGAAGTGCGTCTTTCCTGTATTTGTGAATTCTCGAAAAAGTCTCTGGAATGGACATTTTCGTATTTTGTCTACAAAAGTTGGCAAACTATTTCACACATTGAATATTTCTGGATGGCCATCCAAAACTGCTTGGCTTTTGCAATGTCCGGTAACCCCCTTTCAAATGTGCGTAATGATCAGGCGATAATTACGACCTGCCGACATTTTTGCAGTTTTTTGGTCCATTTCAACCCCTAAATATATGGCGATCAGGCTTCTATTCTGGCCCTCATCTTATCCCCATGCAAAATTCCGTAAGGATCGGGCCATAAATGCGATCTGTATATGATATTCTGATGTCATAACTACTTAGTTTTGTTAGCTGTAGAAATATTACCAAATGTTTAATTCAAAATGAAAATATGCCAAAAATATGACAAAATTGAAAAAATATGAGAAAATGTTACAAAATCAATATTTTCATCTTTAGAGAGATATTTTTATGCGATTTTTTTAGACGTTTTTTCTTTCCTGCCAAGAGGCCATTCTGAATTAATGAGAACTGTCGAAATCAGTTCAGCCGTTCTCGACATATAAGGGATCTTTCAAGCATATCTTCTTAGATAGACATATATATCGCACATATTTTGCTATATATCCGTTTTGTTGGATGTTAACATCAATGTAAAGATCAGGAGTAACCTTGTCATGGCTTTGTGATTTCGCCGGGACTTAAAATATTCGCGGTTTAATGAAAAATGTTGAATTTTTTCAACACAAAATATATGGTCTATTTTACCCGCTAAATATTATCCGATGACCACCCAAATTGGTAGGCTTCTTCCCCGTTCTAAACTCTAGCTACATGCGAAATTCCGCGTCGATTGGTCTATAATTGCGACCTGTATAGCTACTGCAAAATCCGACATTTTTTCAGTATTTGGCCCATTTCAACCCCTAAACATTTGGCGATCATCTCAAAAAGAAATAGGGTTCTATTCTGGCCCAACCCCGACCTCCATTCCAAATTTCGTGAAGATCGGGCCATAATTGCGACCTGTAGAGTGATTACAAATTAACATGGACAGACGGACGGACGGACATACATAGCTAGATCGAATCAGCTCGGCGAGCTAGGATGATCCATATATACTTTCCTATGTGGGAAACCAATATTTCGTGGTGTTACATAATTTTTGGCCCAATCAAACTTATAATACCCCCAACACATAGTGTTGTAGGATATAAAAACCCAAAAGTTCCTTTTTTCATATTAAATTACGATATATTTTAGACATACATGTACATATGTGTGTTTTCCGTGCGAAAATGTAAAAAATTGAAATTTGTCGTCGGTGTCGTAAAATGAAGTCGAGGCGACATTAATGATATTAGGGTTGTCGTTTTTTGTCGATAGCGACAAATGACGACGTGAAGTCGATTTTTGAGAAAGGGCAAATTATTGTATTTTTTATTCAAAACAATACACACATATATACAAAGTGTGTATATATATTGAGAGATTAGGGACACGTAAAGAAAAAATTGTATTTAGGGGGTTGATTTGTTCCAACTTCTGTAATTGTGCCATGCGATAACCGAAATGCAAAACTAGTAGATTCTTTCAGGTTCCGGATTAGAGCAATAATTGGTGACTTGTAAAGCTTTTAAAAGCGAAATGGAAGACAACAATTTTTGGCCGGAAAAATCAAATTTGGGTCACCCATTAATTCTACCACCACGGGTTCGTTGAATAGAAACTACGATTTCAAAACAGATTAACGAAAAATAATTACAATTATTTCCACTTATCTTTCCTCTTGCCCATAAAGACTATTGCGAATGTAACTATTCCCTGTGAAGCATGGGACAAAATTTAACGGCAGGACACTGACCTAGCGAAGCCACTATTATATTATATTTAACTCAAATTTCCACTAAAAGAATGTGCCAAAATTTATTTCATTTCCACCATGAGAAAAATAAATAGATGCCAAATCACAACCCCTGAAGTTCGGGGTTTACCATTAAATGGTCAATGTAAAATTTTTGCTTGGAAAATGCAGGAACACAACTAATATGACAAATTCAACTTGATATATTCAATCAAATTATTTTCATTCTAATTGGGTAAATAAAGTTTTCAATTCAATTTTCAATTTCAATTTTACAAAATTATCTATTTCTCATTTTGGCAAAATGTATCCCTCAAATGTAAGTAAATAATCGCGCTAAAATGTGAAAATGTAGTTTATTATCAAAATCTCGATGTAGAACCCCTTTGGCTATCTAAATTTCAATCAAATGGAGCTCTATCCTCGACGTCGCAATACAGAATTCTATTCGCAGGCAAGACCATCGGAAGAATATCAAAGTCGTTCGGTTGAACATCCCAGAGATAAATTGACAAGAAGATGTGCTGGTCATAGGGCAATAGGAGGTGAACGTATTATGCCAGCGCGTAATTCGGATATGCGTATGTTTCGAAATAGTTATTTTTCTTAAACAAAAAATCGTTGGTTATAGTCGGCATAATCAACTAACTGAATTAAAGGATAATCTAGAATTTTCCTAGAAATGTTCGTGAATACAGAAACTAACCTAAAATTATTACAAAATATATTGTATTTTTGAACGGTCTGATTTAAAAAATCGGAATAATATCATATATCAATGACGATAGCAATAAAGTTGAAGTATGGAATATTCTGGTTCTATGTAGGTGAGGATAAAACAAAGGGACTAAACGTCTTCTTTGATGTGATGTGCTGGTCATAGGGCAACAGGAGGTAAACCTATATTACCAGCGCGTAATTCGGATATGCATATGTTTCGAAATAGTTTTTTTTTTTTCTAAAAATTCTTTGGTTATAGTCCGCATTGTCAACTAACTGAAATTAAGCACAATCTAAAACTTTGCTAGAAATGTTGATAAATAAAGAAACAAACCTGAAATTATTACAAAATCTATTCTATTTTTTATACTTCTGATTTAAACAAATCGTAATAATGGCATAGATCAATGACGATAGCAATAATGTTGGAGTATGTAATTTTCCTGACTCTGCGAAGGCGAGGATAAAACAGAACGATCAATCTTGTTTTTTTTTGTCTATAAATATCCACGTGAATTCATATGATATAGGACAGAAATCACATTTCCTTTCCCGTTTTAGATTCTGATTTGATATCTAGGTTTACTCAAAGCCTATGAGGGCAGCCTATTTCAAAATTATGTGCTCATAAGATCTATAGACCATTCTGTAACAAATGTAGGGAATTACGGTGAGACTGATGCTCTTCATTAGGAAAAAATCAATTAAAATAATTGTTGCTACTAAAACTGGAGGCCATAGGCCAAATACCTTGGTATTATTTTTGGCACCAAGGTAAGAAACAAAAGGAGGAGAGCGCATGGTGCAATAAAGAGAAGGTAGGTCAACTTTGAAAAAAATTGCAAGTATAGAAGTCTACCTGTTTGGCTTGTAATGTCAGAATTAGTATCAAAACAATAAAAAATCAAACAACCTGTTGCATTTATTTTGAATAAATAATTGAAAAAAAAAAAAAAAACGCGATAACTGAATGAAAGGTCAATACTTCTTTTCAATACTTACTTGGAACCAGAAAACAGATAACTACATCAGAATATGCAGACACACTAACAAAAGACAAAAGACTAAAGCTGATAAAAAAAAGTTCTAAATTTAAATTCTCACCTGCCTCCTATGTTCACTCTTCCTCCTTCTATCCAATCTTATTGTAACTAATAATTCTCCCATTTTCAATTCAATCGGTTTTCGCGCCTAAAAGTATGCAACAAATTTTACGCATAACAGAATAACAAATGTTAATGAATAAAAATAACTCTGAACTGTTATTTTTCAATCCTTTAAACATTCGCGATCTCTCACTCTACAATCTATTTTTTACCGATTACTGTCTTTTTTTTTTCTAAATAGAATGCATTACGAATTCGCAAAGACCTAGACATAAACCTTTCAATATTTTGGGCGTTAAAAGGCCACATTTCGTTAGCTCAATTTCAAGATTGGGCACATTTTAGCTTTTGATAAAACAAAGGATTTTTTCCACTTTCCTTGGCGATAATATTTAAATAGCAACAAGTGCGAGCCTATTGCACGCACAATCCCAGATCAAATGTGTATAGTAACGCATGTTAACGACTTTTTCCAAGTGGTACAAATGGAATAGCTAAATTAACCCTTTCATATTATGGTGAAGGATATGGAAACTTCCAATACCGTTAATGACTTGCTCATTCCAATCTATTTCCAAATCTCATTTTTCCTATTATTAATTTTAATTAGTTGATTGCCTTTCAGATTCATTGGTTCTCTTGACCCCCTTGTACCCAAACAATTAGTGTGACACAATTCATTTAGCCTCAACGCTGCCGACGCTCACCATTGAGGTAAATGACAACAATATCAAAGAATGATGAATCATAGACAATTTTTGTGTGTTGGTTATTAAACATTTTTTTTTCGAATACTACTCATGAAAAGGTATGCGGCGACTTTCAACCAATACATTCGTATAGTGTAGAATTGATTATGGTTGCGGCTGATATCTGTGTTGCAATCTGAAAATTTGTACAATTCCTTTAATTGATTATTCTTAACATCTTCTTCTAAAAAAACGATAGATAGATAGTTAGACATTTGACTCTGAAGTCAAGCCAGCCAAAATATAACAGACAAATAAATTTGTTTGTCTTTTTTCGCGTGTTATCTTTATGGACAATTGGTTTTGTTTACACAAAAGATCTCGTAAAGAAAACATATTGTAGAGCTTGGTTGCCAGCGATATCTGGAAACACACATACGAATACACAAACATTAACAAATTTGACTTGCATACATACCGTATAATATGATAAGAGACCGGCATTTTCATCCAACACAAAGAAACGATACTGCCATCCCTTCATGACATTTGTCCATTTGCTGAGGGTGCCCTCCATGGTACCGCTGCCGATCATGGATACCGATGATACGGCCGGGGAGTTAGTTGTAGACATGTTATTGCTGCTGATATTGATATATTTTGTATTTATTTAGAATTTCCCCAATGACTGGAATGGTATCCAGCTAAATGACGATACCTTTTTTTATCTCAAGACAATAATATAGCACCAGTTTGTTTTTGTAAAAGTAATTCACATGCAGATTTCTTGCAGTTAAACAATTTTGGATTATTTTGGTTGGTGGGTTGATATGGGGGTTATTATATTGTAGTCATTCATTCATTCATTTTCACACAATTAACAGCTGTTACAGACGGGCAGATGTTTTGCCTCCCATAAATGGCCCAGTGCTATTTTAATAATATATTCACTTCTTATTATTTTTATGGCATATAATGTTTTGTTTGCTTAATTCTGTTACATAAAATTTGAAAGGCAAACAACGATACGGGCTACTACTACTTCTTTTCTTGCTTTCGATGGTGAGGAGAAGCAACAAAGGTTCATGTCAAAGGGTAGTAGCAATGACTCGTCCTCTATAACTCCTTATTATTGTTAAGGTAATTTTGTTGATATTCTTGCTGTTGTATTAAATCCTTTTTGTCGATACTTAAATCAAGGATCATTAAACCAACCAATGACACCTTCTTACTACCTTCCAAGTCTTTCATTCAATCTTTCAAACAAACCGACGAAGAGTGGCTAGCAGTTTGCAAAATATGGGATGCTGTTTTTTTCTATTTTCCTTCACTTATTTCATTCAAGTCTGGCATGAATTTCACATTGTTTTTGGAGGGACTGTTAATTTTCGTTTATTGATCTTTGCAAATTAAATGGTCTTTTTTCTGTTCAAATAAAACAAGAGGAAAACAAATTTTCTACAGGGGGAGACCGACCGAACAAAAAAATTTCTTCAATGTAATTTTGACAGCTGCTGTCATAGTTCGTTTGCCAATTAGTGTTGCCGTAGTTCTAAAGAGGTATAAACAGACACCGGAGCTAAACGATTTTTTGACGGCGTCTGTCTATCATGTGTAAACAAGTTGCAGCCGGCGCGCTGTACTTTCTGCTTGCCATGGCCTTTCAGATAAGACCAGCTGATTTCATTCTTTTGCAATTGTGAAAACAATCACAAAAATAGTTATTCGAACTGTTTAATGGACCTTACTGCATACAAAAATATTTTTTTAAAGTTTTTTACAAAAATAAACATTTATACAAAATTTTTTATTCATAAGAGCTTTGGTCCAGCTCAAAAGATTAAAATGCCAGGAATTTGGTGCTCTCACAAAAAAATAAATAAAAACTATGGGAACGGAAAAGTAGCAGCAATGAGCAAAAACGTCACGATCATGTCAAATACGATGTTAGACAGTTTTTTTTTTCGTTCGGCCACATTCGCGGGTTAAAAGGTTTTTTAAAGAGATAATACAAATCAAAGTACTACATCAATGATTATAGTTTTTTCTTTTGATAGTCTTGTAATGTCAAAACATATATACAGTACTTGTTTTGAATAACAAACAAAATTTTGAAAATTTTCAAGTTCTGTTGTAATTTAATTTAATTTTTTCAATTTTTAGGGAGATTACGTTTTCATCTTATGAGGATCTGGATATTGTGGAAAATTCCCGACGATCGATTCATTTTTCGTAATTTTTTTTTAAATTGAACATTATGAGAAAAGACTGTTTACTACAAAATTTGATGACAAAATGCAATTTTGTCATTGAAATCACAGAACAAATAGCCAAAAACAAGTAAACAATTTTTGATATTGGACTAAAAATTTGGAGGGACACCTTGCTACTGCGCCATGGTTATTAGCATGGTACAATAAGAAGGTAGAACAGCTTCGTAAAACTATAGAAATACAGCCCTGAGACTATGCCCGCTTCCTGTCAGTATTATTCAACATCATAGGCAACAAGTTGATTTTCATTTCCTTTCTAAAATGAGTCAAATAGCGCGAAAGATGAAAAAAATGCTTGGATGTTAAAAATGCTACTAAAAAGCATGAAACTAAGTGTTCCATATTTAAATTTCATGGAAAATCTGGTTAATATTATTAATGCGAGCCCCGCAATTTAAAATTCTTCCAATCTTTGATTTAAAAAAAAAGTTTTTATTTTTCAAAACAACAAATATACACAAAATTGACAGAAGTCGGGCACACTCAGAAAAAAATTTGTAATCAGCTGGGTGCCATGGTAGAAGAATACAGGTAGATGCATCAACGCTTAGAAGCATTGATATGTCAAACAATTTTAAATGTTTTTTCAAATATAAGTTTATTTATATATGTTTACTTATACGACGTCATTCGGAGGTTATTATTATCCGCGTTTTTCAACAATTTTTACAAATTTAAACAACTTTTCATTCAACATTTTCAATTCCAAAATTTGTTTGACAGTTCATTATACCTGGGAGCACTACCTTACCTTTTTATTGTACCATGGTTATTAGTAAATTAGAAGTTACAAGACTCAAGCTTCAGGGTTGAGTATTTCATATTTAATGAATCTGTCCAACCTTATAATTGCTGTAATTATTATTTTTAATGGTAAAACTCGTTAAAGTGAGCGATGCTACATTCGCTCTGCGAAAAATGCTTTGCCCGGAAAGTAAGTAAACGAAAAATAAGTAAAAATTTAAAATTAATTGGCAGTTCTTCAAAAATTTGGGCACTATGCCACTATTTTTTATATAGAAAATTTCACATCGAGAAAAGTATTAAAGTATTAAGCAATTCTTGTATGTGCTCTTTTTAATTTCTTTTACTGGATTTTCGTGTACAGGAACGGGTTTCAAGTGAAAAATTGTATATATAATAGTAGTATTTTTCAGGTTCCAGAATACAACTTATATTGATTGCTTTTCAAAACATTCAAGACGCCAACATCCCTTCTGTCGCTGTCGCAAAAAATACCCTAAAGACTTTTATTTATGTTGGTAACATTTTTGTCTTAAGCATTGCCAGCTACATGTAGGAGAAAAGAGAGAGAGAGAGAGGAAGCATTGCCATTTTTTAACTTCAATTGTTATTTTTCAAAATAAACGAGAATAATTAAACTTAAAAGAAAACTATATACACATTTTTTGAATTAATTCAAATAAACAGGAAATAAAGATCTTAATTTCTAATTTGTTTCTAATTTTTGGGTAACAGCAGCATCCAGTATCCCCCAATGTGAGTTTGATTCCATTCCGGATTTGGTGTATTAGAAATGGTGGCGCTGGTCTCATTATGCCCATAATAACGACCTAAGAAATTCTCCAAGAAATCGGCAAGGAAATGTTGATATATGTAATAGCATAGACCGAAAAGGAACAGGCCTTTGAGAAGTTTATCCAGGCACCACATGCTGCATGGAGGAAATAAAGAAGGTAGGTATTTTTTTTTTTTAAATAAGAAACAACTATTTGACAATAATAAATACTACTTTTTAGTAAATATTAATGGTGATTTTATCCAAATAAACAATGTTTCTCAACTGAGAACAAAATTGTCATGAAGTCTTATGGAGTCTCATGGGTCTACATATGTTATTCAAAATACTTTTAGTGTCTACTTACATTTTCAAATGCCTTTTGGCTGCTGGTATTGTATCATCCGTTTGTTTGAGCATAAAACGACGGGCACACATCGCACAATCGACGAAATAATCAATCAGATCAAATTCGAACACCTCTATGGGATATGTCAAACGTTCTCTATTGTTCATTAGCTTTCGCAGTTCAATAAGTTTTGTATTATCGAAATTCCATGTTCCATTAGCGTAGAAGCCGATTACCTCTAAACCCTTGGTAATGCGTTTTTGCACACGAATTAAACTACGGAAAATGGCATGGCATTATGACGGAATATTGGAAAATCAATAATTGAAAAAAAAAAAAAAAAAACACGCATTCACTTACACAGGTTTTTGGAGTAATATCACCAACAAGAAATCCACCAGTAATGCTGGCAACCAATGGAATAGTATCATCGATATCCAATGCATTACTAAACTGGATTTCATGGAACCTCCCGGATACCAGGCTACACCATTAAGTGGCACCTTGTTGTTTATAACCCAACGACTAACTTCAATGACTTCTCCCCAGGTAATTTTTATTTCATTCGAACTTGACAGATGTACAATGGGTATATCCATGGGTTCAAACTCTGTCGTGAGATAACGCCATGTGGCCACTAAAATTCCACTTGCAGCAAAGTCGACTGGTATCATATCTCCATAACCATCTTCACGAATATACACGGTGCGTATGACACCTTTTCCCGCACCAATTAAGAGACCAATGGGTCCGTTCACGTTGTCGGCCCAACCCCGAATCGGCTCACGCCACGTTGGTATTACAATCGATGGACGAATTATACCCGTTGGCATTTTACCAAATCTCTCCACGACCAAGGCCTCCGCCAACGATTTAGTATATGAATAGGATTTCGGAATATTGCCCATTAGTCGTTTCTCGATTGCCGCCATGTGTTTGTCACCCAACAATTCACACAGGCTAATAACTTTATGCGGATCTGCGGGTGGATCGTAGGGCTTCTCGTAAAGATTATCTACATGGACATGACAATATGTCGTTGAGATATACCAAAATACACTTAGATGTTTAAATGTGCTGGATAAATCAAGTGTATACTTGGTACCGCGAACATTCAGGAAGACGGCCTTGCGTAGGGGTTCGTCAAATCTGTATTAATGAAAGGGACAAACCGATAATATTTCAATGTGCAGGTAGAGGGGGAAAACCTACCTCACTGTTGCCGCACAATGTACCACAATGGAGACTTCATTTCTTAAGGTTTTGATATTTTCTGGCGATATACCCAGCTGGGGTTCCAATACATCGCCGGTTATGAGTACGACCTTACTCGCTATCCAATCCAAGCTATGCTGTTCTTTGACTTTATCGAATAACTGCAAAAACGAAATATTTTAAATTTTCGTTTTTTAAATCACCGGTACTACTCTCCAATACCCACCACATCATCCATCACCTCCTTAAGACGTTTTTCGGGTGACTTGCCTTTTTTGGGCCGCACCAAAAGATAAATTTTTTTCAACTCCCCGCAAGATCTGGAAAAATGTAATCTATAGATTGCAGTTATTTGGAAATCGAATCATTGACGGAACTCACCTTAGCAATTTTTCCACAAGGACTTTCCCCATAAATCCTGTGCCACCGGTTAGAAATATTGCTCGACCAGCCAGGCTCTGGGCAATGCGATCCACTTCGGTATCATCGACATGATCGACTTTGGCAAATCCCACCTCTTTTTCGAATTGTAATTTTGGCCTCTCTTTGGGAAAGGTCAAAATTTTTGGAGCAATCGGCAATTTGTCCAGCATGGTGGGGAGTTTTGCTACAAGAAAAGGAGAAATAAGGTCATAGAAACAATTCCATCAAATTTTAATGCCATTTCGTTGTCTACAGAATCCGCCATGCAATAACGGTTTTGAGTTTAAGGTCAGTATATTTTTGCACATCTCTCCTGGAGGTTTACCTCAATTTTTGAACAAAATTAAATTTATTTGGAGTTTTGAATTCTTAACAGGATCTTAAAATTATAAACAAAAAAAAAAAAAAAAAAAAAAAACAGTTTCTACAAGGCCAGCTTTTGGAGTAAGCCCAAACAGAATTTTTATTTAATTTTATATATCATTGGCTGGTTAAAATCCCTTCGAAAATGAAAAAAAAAATATTTTTTTAACTTTCAAAATTAAATATATTAACTTTGGGTTAATGCACTGAGAATTAAGATTTAACTGTAACACACTCAATTCAATATTTAAATGTAATCGCTTGCGGGCAGCAATAACAAAACGACATCGCAGAAACATCCATACATTAAGATCAAATTATGTAAATTATTAAATTAAATATCACACAACAATTTAATGTAGTTTTTAAAGGCGAACGACCTTTTTAATGAAAAAATGTGTGATTTTATATTTTTTTAAAAAAATTTGTTAAAAAATCCACGATTTTTGTTCAAGATGCCCTTTCCTGGAAAATAATGTCCACAAGAAAACCACAACTTAAAAAATACCGTGATTTTTGTCCAGGGAAGAATTTAAAAAATACCTTTTTTGGTCAAGAAAAATCTTCTTCATTTACAAATACCTCGAAAAATATGTAAGAAACCCGGTAAATATCCAATGTGTTTCTAGGGAAAAGTTAAATTACAGAAACTGCAGAGCTGGGATTGCTTTTTTTTAATTGAGGTTACCTTAATTTTATCTTTGGCACGAATTATGGTCTTCAAACGGCCAGTGAAACCGTCACACGCTGCCCGAATGTTGCTCTGCGGTATTTTGGCCCAGTCCCGGCAATGCGCTTGCTTGAAGTGACCGACACTTTGGTATTTTTAGTGCCAACCTTGCTTTCCACAATACTCCAGAAACAATAGTCCAACGGATAGGTATCCCGAGTTTTTGGTGGCCATTGTGCGCTGCATATGAGGAACCTCATAACCATTCTTGGGTGGTGCGTGCTGAGTGCGATGGTCTGAGTCCTGTTGGAATGTCCAAGGTCTGAGGCCAAAATGTTTGCATGCCCAAGGCTTTAATACACCCTCCAGAATATTTTTGCGTAATATTCGGCATTCATTCTGATGCCACGGTCGATTAATACGAGCGGAGAGCGACCATCAACTGTTATGGCGGCCCACACCATCACCATGGCCGGCGCTTGAGTTCTGGTGGCCAACCGAAGGTGCACATTTTCAACTGATGATAATTTTGTTTGTTTACAAACTGCTGGACAACGAATGTTTTCTCATCGGAGAAAGCCAAATTCGGTAGTTCACCACTTTCGGCCAAGTGAAGCAAATCTTTAGCTTTTTTGAGTCTATTTTCTTTCATTTGCGGTGTAAGTTCTTGCACTTTTTGGAATTTCAATGGCTTTACTCCGAACTCATATTTCAATATTTGCCGAATGGAATATTGCGACATGTTCACGAGCCATTTTTCAGCCACTGCGACGCAATCGATCAAGTCGCTTCTTTACTTTTCGAATCATTTCTGCTGATGTTTATGTTTTCTTCCCTCCACTTGACGTTGGGCTACGCTACCAGTATCATGGTTACGAGCGATGGTACGAGACACAAAAGATTTATTCAAATTTAAATTCTGGAGTGCTTTAACGATAGCCACTAGCGGTTTTCCAGCCAAATATAAAGAAATCACACTATCACGCCTGAATTCCACCACGCATGACTTTTTTTGTCTCTGGAAAATTCTCAGCAAAATGCTTTTGTGCGCTTGTAAATAACATAATAAGCTGTCACTGGAATAATTTTAACAGCTTTCGGACGAGTGGCTTAGAAATGACAGCAGTCTGAAGTTGGTTGCAGGTTTTTCATTTCACAATGTATATACAATGGATTTATAAATATAAAGTTAAACAATTGTGTGTTGTCAAATGAATTATTTTGAAAAAGTTGTAAAAATATGATAACATGGCGTTACCTTCTTTATTCTACCCTGGTTTTAATAGATGTTTTAGATTTGTTTTTGTAATTGTCGGTAATCTGACAATTAATTTTTTGTTTGTTTTGAACTTCCTAAATGATTGCTTAAAATTAAAAATATATTCCCTAATGAGACGTAAACTTGGTCCATATTGCATTGTCATTTGTAAACGTAAGGTTAACGTAACCTAATCGGCTTTGAAATTACTCAGCTGTGTAGACGGCGTCACACATAATGCCTTAACGGCTTTCCTCAATGTTGGCAACATTTTTCTCCGAAATATTACCATCCACTTGATGAGTCGGAGAGAGAAAGAAAGAAAGAGAGCGAGTTAACCAGCATTGCCATTAGTTTTGTACTAAATGTCATTGTTATTAAAAAACCAGTAAGGAAAGCTCAAAAGTCGGGCGGGGCCGACTATATGATACCCCACACCACTATGCATATTTAGTAGAGCTCTCGTAAAAAGGTTTATACAGGGCATTTCAGAGCTCTATGAGATATTTGGTACAAAATCAAAATCTATCTAATTCTATCGTGCATTTTACGAACTATAGCTATCTCTGAACCGGGTTTCTCCAAATTTTACGTATTCTTCTTCTTCTTCTAGACTGGTGATTTGGGCTGATATTGACCATTTTGTGCACATTTAACCCGAAATCGGATGAAGATATATATGAGAGCTATATCCAAATCCGAACCGATTTCGATAAAATTTAAAACAGCTATTCCTGTGCTGCATCTTATATCTGGTACCAAATATCATTCTTGTGGAGTGCATATTACGAATATGAGAGGCTTAAACACCAAATCGGATGAAAGATATATATGGGAGCTATAGCTATATCTGAACCGATTTTCTCCAAATTTGATATATTTACTTCTAGGCCGAACTCGGTTGGGTGTGCCAAAATTCAGGTAATTTGGACTGATAGTGGACATTTGGTGCACATTTAACCCGAAATCGGATGAAGATATATATGGGAGCTATATCTAAATTTGATCCGATTCTCACCAATTTCAATAGGGTTCGTCCTTGGGCCAAAAAAATATTGTTTGGAAAATTTCATCTCAATCGGATAATAAATGCGACCTGCATTTTGTTCACAAGAATACATGGACAGACGGACGGACGGACGGACGGATGGACGGACGGACAGACGGACGGACATGCATAAATCGACTCAGAATGTGATTCTATGAAGGTTCTCAAAAGTAACTATGGGTCTATCTCGTTTCCTTCTCCATGTTACAAACAAATGCACAAAGACATATAGCCTGTTCAGCAAACTTATTTTTCTTCCAATTGCTCGGCAAATGGCAGACGATTAGAATTTTTGGTTTTTGTATGTAAGTAATCAAAAAGAGCTTTTTTCAATAGGCAATTTTTGGTTCACCAAACTCCAACACAAACAAAACGAAATGTCAAAGTAGGCAATCAAAAAATACCAATCGTCTAGTTTTAAAAATTGAAGATATTGGGTGTAAAATGGATATTTATACTAAAAAAATGTAAGTATTTCCAAGTTATTACATTATAAACATTAATTTATAAGGAAATTTCAATCTTTTAGAATTAAAAAAACAACTCCTGGTCAGTTTCGGATCTTGGTGGAATCTATTGACGAATTCCCAGAGCTAGCAACTTCAAGCCCGATATTTGGGAAGTCGAAATTGAATCCAAATGGGCTGTTGTGGCACAAAAAATAAATTCGGTTGGACCTCCAATGCGAAGTGGATCTGATTGGAAAAGGGTACACTAACAGCCATTTGTTTTACAACAGTATTTAAAACGCTTAGGTTTTAGATATGGGCAGATATGAAATGTAGAACGAAGGCCAAAATAACTGAAAATATAAAGCAAATGAAAGGCACAGGCGGAGGACCTTCCTATCAAAATTCGTTGACAGATATCGAAAGGGATATCGATAGGATATACCAGCTATCAAAAGCCGCATCACCTGATGGAATAACCTTCGGTACAAATAGGAAAGAGCCTCTTGTTTTGGAACTTACGCCACCCAGACCTTCAACTATCGTTGCTGTTGTTACTCCAACAACTTCAGACCAATATTCAAATACAGCACAAGCGACATCAACCCCTATCAAAGTTATGCCGAAAGCAAACCTTTGCAAAAACCAACAGAAACGAAAGATCGCAGAAAAAGAACAAGGGGCAGAAATAAAACTTTTAAAATTACAATTGGAGCAGAATAATGCTTTGGTAGAAGAGATGAAGGTGCAAACAAAAACACTCAACTCGCTGGCTAATTCTCTCCAAGGCATTCAACATGTCTTGCAAGAAATGTTAACATTTTTAAAAACTGAATGAAAATAATTGTGTTAAGACATTTTTTAATCAACTAATCAATTTTATTGTTTCCCTATTAATTTTAATAAAAAAGAGCTTAATTACATTTTTATTATTTATGTTTATTTATTTAATTATTTTTAACTATTTAATTTAACAGATTTAAAGCTATTTCGTCTCTAATTGTAATAGCTGCCGTTTCATCGCCAGAGGAAAAACTACCTAAATCTTCATTTTCATTTTGGAACATAGCATCACTTGGTAACAAATGGTTCTTATAAAATATACATATGTTGTGCAAAGCACAATACGTGTTTATAATTTGTGTTGCTTTGGCGGGACTGTAATGCAACCCTCTCGATACTATGATGCACCTAAACCTATTCTTTAGAACACCAAAACACCGTTCTACAACATTTCGAGTTTTTGAATGTTTCTTGTTGTAGTTCCTTTCGGTGGCATTTGAAGGATTCCGGTATGGCGTCATCATATAGGGCTGAAGTTTGTATCCAGAGTCCCCTTCAAGTGAATTTTAGGAAAGAATATATTTTGGTGTATGTGTGTATTAAAAAAGGCAACTATAAATACCTAACAGCCATGTATTCCTCTTGCCTCGAATAAAATTATTTTTAAAATGATCATGTGCATCGCTCTGGTCCCACACAAATGCATCGTGATTTGCACCTGGATGTCTAGCATCTACGTAATTTATTACCATATTATGATCGCATATCTGTAATGAATAATACAAATTAATAGCATATTTTCATTACATAGATTTGAAAAAAACTTACCACCATTACATTTATGCTGTAGTAACCTTTACGGTTATAATATAAATGCTGTTGTTGTTGCCCAGGGGACTTTATTCGAACATGGGAGCCGTCTATGCATCCTACAACTCCTGGTACACCAGCGCTGTTGAAAAAGCTTTGTTTACATTCGTCTTCCTCACCTAATGTTTTTTGTAAACGAATCCATTTAGCACATATGTGCTGCTCCACAATGTTCAAGCATTCGCTTATCACCTCCGAAACTTTGGCCTTTGACATATATGAGACACTCTCATTTCCAACACAAAATTGGTAGCCACCACTTGCCAAAAATTTTAAAAATGTTGAAACTTTTACGATTGGTGGAACACTGCTGCTCCTTGTATTCCGTTTCATTTGTGGCTCCATTTCACCCAACAGCATCAAAAACACATCCTTACTTACTCGAAAATTGGCAATAAATCTGAAACAAACAACAAAAGTTATGGTCCATTTCATCCGCTGTCCTGGATCCATCCAAACACTTACCTTTCTTCTGGAAGTTCCAATACGTTTGTGGCATCGCGCAATTGACGAAAAAGATTGACATTTCCGTCACCCCTATTCATACTTTTATTTAAAATGGAAAGTCCAAAACCAACGGAGGCAATCATTTTTAAAAAATATAAACAAATTTTCTTTTTGGAAACATAAACAAATTTTTGACAGAAGGGCAATAAGTAAAAAGAGCTTTTTTCCCAGACGAAAAAAGTAAATGAACTAAAATAAAAACTTGATTGTCTGGGTAGCAAATGTTTGTCTGCCTTACACAAAAGTTCTGTGAACAGGCTAATAATACCCTTACCACTATGTGGTGTAGGGTATAAAAACAAACGAATAATTAAACATTAAACTATATACATTTTTATGCACTAAACTGAGAACATTGCTCTTAATAACTAAAGTGTTTGTAATTTTGCTGTAACTACATCATCAAGTATCCCTCCAATGTGGGTTTGATTCCATTCCGGTGTTGTCAAATTGGAGACATTGCTTGTAATCAGGGATTTGGTCTCTTTATATCCAGCGTAATGACCGGAGAATCCGTTCATGAAATCGGCAAACAGATGTTGATATATGTAATAACAAAAGCCGAATAGGAAAAGACCTTTGACAAGTTTATCCAGGCACCACATACTGTAGATGGGGAGGAAATAAAGGAAATAAAGAAGGTAAATTAAAAAAATAATTTGTTGATAAAATTCAATAAAGTTAAGATAGTTTTTCTAAGAATATATTCAAGGAAATAAATTGATAATGAGCAAATCGTTTTAAATAAAGATCTCCATTTGAATTTCATAGGTTGGTTCAAAATCAGACATATGACTTCAAAATGAAATGTAAATGCCGATCTTCTCATGGCCCAAAAAGGTAATGTTCAGATCAAAAATTAATTAGCCTCCTCATTAAAAATGTCATATATACTCACATTCTCAAGTGCCTTTTAGCTGCTGGTAAGGTATCATCTGTCTGTTTGAGAATAATACGGCGAGCACACATCAAACAATCGGCGAAATAATCAGTTGGATCAAATTCGAACACCTCGATGGGATATGTCAAACGTTCTCTGTTGTTCATAAGCTTACGCATCCCGATAACATTTGAATTATCAAAATTCCATGTTCCATTGGCATAGTAGCCGATCACAGTTAAGCCTTTGGTGATGCGCTTTTGAACACGAATTAAACTTTAGTAAAAGAAAATGGCAAGACATTATGATGGAACATTCAACACAGAGGAAAGGGTACACATTTACTTACACGGGTTTCTGGCGGAATAGTACCAGCAAGGTATCCAAGAGTAATGCTGGCAGCCAATGGAACAATATCATCGATATCCAATGAAGTATTATATTAGACTTTATTGAACCACCCGGATACCAGACTACGCCATTAACCGGCACCTTCTTGTCAACAACCCAACGACCAACTTCAATTAGCTCCCTCCATGTTATTTTCATATCTTTTGCACATGACAGATGGACAATGGGCATTTCCATGGGCTCAACGTCTGTCGTCAGATATCGCCATGTGGATGCTATAATTCCACTTACAGCAAAATCGAGTGGTACCATATCACCATAGCCCTCTTCTCGAATATACATTGTGCGTATGACGCCTTTTGCGGCACCAAGTAAGATACCAATGGGACCGTTCATATTGTCAGTGTAACCTCGAATTGGCTCACGAAGTGGGGGTATTACAATCGATGGTCGAATTATGCCCGCCGGCATTTTACCAAATCTCTCCACCACCAAGGCCTCAGCCAAGGATTTTGTATATGAATACGAATTTGGAATGTTTCCCATTATACATTTTTCGGCATCCGCTACATCTTTGTCACTCAACATCTCGCACATTTTTATTATACTGTGCGGATCTGCAGGTGGATCATAGGGTTTCTCGTAAAGATTATCTATGTGGACATGACAATACGTGGTGGAGACATACCAAAATACATTTAAATTTTTAAATGTACTAGCTAAGTCCAGCATATATCTAGTTCCGCGTACATTAAGAAAGACGGCGTTGCGCAGGGCCTCATCAAATCTGTATTATTCAAAATGAAAAGATCAACTATATTTCAAAGTCGGAGTACGGAGGGGAAAAACTTGCCTCACTGTTGCCGCACAATGCACCACAATGGAGACTTCATTCCTTAAGATTTCAATATCTTCTGGAGATATTCCCAGCTGGGGTTCCATAACATCGCCGGCTATAAGTTTGACCTTGCTTATTACCCAATCCAAGCTATGCTGTTCCCTAACTTTATCGAATAACTGAAAATAAGATATATTTAACATTTCTATTACAATATTTTTCCTGCTCTTCAATACCCACCACACTGTCCACCAACTCTTTGAGACGTTCCTCCGGAGATTTGCCCTTTTTGGGTCGCATTAGAAGATAGATTTTTTTCAAATCACTGCATGATCTAAGATATGGAGACAATTACAATAATAGTTCTACGAAGCGATGGCATCGTTAATGCAACTCACCTTAGCAATTTTTCGACTAGAGCTTTCCCCAAATATCCTGTGGCACCGGTTAAAAATATTGCCCGGCCAGCAATGCATTGGGCAATGCGATCCACTTCGGTATCATCCACATGATCGACCTTGGCAAAGCCTATTTCTTTTTCGAATTGAAGTATTGGTCTCTCTTTGTTTAAGGTTAACAGTTTCGGTGCAATCGGTAATCTGTCCAGCATGGTGGGTGGTTTTGCTAGAAGAAGAAGTTGACAAAAAGAAAGACAAGTTCAATGCTTGAGGAACAACAAGTACCATAACTTCGCTTCAAAAAAATTAACCATCTAAAATTGGTTTATAGTTCTAATAGGACTAGAAATATATCCTCTTATTGGCCTTGAAAATACACGAGAAATTAATGATTCGATTTTAAAAATATTCTTATAAAAAACGCCCTTTATAAAATCGGATATCCAGTAAATATTCTTCAAGTTCTCCGAGTTCAAAAAGTACTAAATAGTACTATAGTACTAAATTTAGTACAATTTGGTATTGGGTGAACGGAAATTTGGTATTAGGATCACGTGGATGTGCTTTGGAAATGTGTACTATAGTTGTACGAATAGTACTGAATGTTACTTTATTTGGTATGGGGTGCTGGTGTAGAGATAAAATTCTGCAATTTGATATTTAGATTACTGATGGTACCTGTGTTTGAGATTTGGCGGTGAATTGGAAATGCATCTTATATTTGTACGAAAAATAATAAATTGTACTGAATTGCTCAGATTAGAAATACAATCCTCGAATTTGTCCTTATACTTCTTGGAAAAAAAATGTTGTAAGACACCGATATTGTAGACCATATAGCACTTGGGGAACATCCTTCAAACACAATATCATAGATTAGATAGTCTTTGTGAGATTACTCTTTAAACATTTTCATATAGAACTTAAAAAACCACGATAGTCCTTGAAAATATTCTTTTAAATAATTACAAAAAATAAAAACAATTTAAGACTATAGCTCTGATGGTCCTTGAGCAAAATCTTTATAATAATAAGACTTGAAAACATTTTAATAACCAGGGTAGAGCTTTAAAAGACATTTTCGTGGAAAACTAAATCCACGCCTTAAAAAAAATCTTTGGAAAAATTTCCTTTAAAAAATCGACGCCTTACAAAAAAATATTTGGAAAATTTTTCTTTAAAAAATCAACGCCTTAAAAAAATCTTTGGAAAATTTTTCTTTGAAAAATCCACGCCCTGATGGTCATTGAAAAAATATTCTTTAAAAAATCCACGCCCCGATGGTCATTGAAAAAATATTATTTAAAAAATCCAGGCCCTGATGGTCATTGAAAAAATATTCTTTAAAAAAATATTCTTTAAAAAATCGACGCTTTAAAAAAATCTTTGGAAAATTTTTCTTTGAAAAATCCACGCCCTGATGTCATTGAAAAAATATTCTTTAAAAAATCCACGCCCTACTGGTCATTGAAAAAATATTCTTTAAAAAATCCACGCCCTGATGTCATTGAAAAATATTCTTTAAAAAATCCTCGCTCTGATGGTCATTGAAAAGATATTCTTTAACAAATCCACGCCCTGATAGTCATTGAAAAAATATTCTTTAAAAAATCCACGCCCTGATGTCATTGAAAAAATATTCTTTAAAAAATCCTCGCTCTGATGGTCATTGAAAAGATATTCTTTAACAAATCCACGCCCTGATGGTCATTGAAAAAATATTCTTTAAAAAATCCACGCCCTGATGGTCATTGAAAAGATATTCTTTAACAAATCCACGCCCTGATGATCATTGAAAAAATATTCTTTAAAAAATCCACGCCCTGATGGTCATTGAAAAAATATTTTTTAAAAATTCCACGCCCTGATGGTCATTGAAAAAATATTCTTTAAAAAATCCACGCCCTGATAGTCATTGAAAAAATATTCTTTAAAAAAACCACGCCCTGATGGTCATTGAAAAAATATTCTTTAAAAAATCCTCGCTCTGATGGTCATTGAAAAGATATTCTATAACAAATCCACGCCCTGATGGTCATTGAAAAAATATTCTTTAAAAAATCCACGCCCTGATGGTCATTGAAAAAATATTTTTTAAAAATTCCACGCCCTGATCATTGAAAAAATATCATTGAAAAAATATTCTTTAAAAAATCCTCGCTCTGATGGTCATTGAAAAGATATTCTATAACAAATCCACGCCCTGATGGTCATTGAAAAAATATTCTTTAAAAAATCCACGCCCTGATGGTCATTGAAAAAATATTTTTTAAAAATTCCACGCACTGATGGTCATTGAAAAAATATTCTTTAAAAAATCCACGCCCTAATGGTCATTGAAAAAATATTCTTAAAACAATCCACGCTCTGATAGTCAATGAAAAAAAAAAAAAAATATTCTAAAAATCGGTTATTGGTCTTTTCGTCCTTGCAACAATATTTGTTAAAAACACTCTTAAAGTCTTTAGAAAAATTAAGAAAATCCACATTTATTGGTTCAATGTTGTCCCAATCGTCTTTGCAAAAAATCTTTAAAAAATCCATGTTTATTGGTCCTATGTCGTCTTAATCGTCCTTATTTTTTTTTAAATTTACATTTATTGGCCCTTTGTCATTCCTATTGTCCTTGAAAAAAATCTTTAAAAAACACACATTTATTGGTCCTATGTCGTCCCAAATATCCTTGAAAAAAAAAATCATTAAAAAAATAAACGTTTATTAGTCCTATTCGTCCCAATCGTCCTTGAAAAAATCATTAAAAAAATCAACGTTTATTAGTCCTATTCGTCCCAATCGTCCTTAAAAAATTCTTAAAGAAATCCACGTTTATTGGTCCTATGTCGTCTGAATCGTCATTGAAAAAAATCTTTAAAAAATCCATGTTTATTGATCCTATGTCGTCTCAATCGTCTTCGAAAGAAATCTCTAAAAAATTCACATTTATTAGTCGTAATGTTTAACAAATCCCAGTTTTTTGCCTTTTCCTCCTTGAAAACTTTATCTTTAAAAATCCATGTTTATTGATGTTTTTGTTTTTGAAAAAAAAAAAAAAAAAAAAAATCTTTAAAAACCCACGTTTATTGATGTTTTTGTTTTTGAAAAAAAAAAAATCTTTAAAAACCCACGTTTATTGATGTTTTTGTTTTTGAAAAAAATAATCTTTAAAAATCCACGTTTATTGGTCTGAGAGCCCTTGAAAAAAAATCTTTAAAAAATCCTTGTCCTTGAAAAATATTCCTGTCTGTTGGTCTGTTAGTCCTTGATTTTTCTTTTTAAATCTCTTGAAAATATATTCTTTAAAAATCCAAGTTTATTGGTCTTATAGTCCTTGAAAAAATCTTTAAAAATGCAGGATTCTTGGTCTGTTGGTCCTTGAAAAAATATTGCTCTGTTCATGCCTTAAAACATAGGCTTTGAAAATCCAAGTTTCTTGGACCTTGAAAATATATTCTTTGAAAAATCAGGCTTCTTGGAATGTTGGTCCTTGAAAAAATATTCTTTAAGAAAATCAGGCTTCTTGGAATGTTGGTCCTTCAAAACAATTTTCTAAAAAATCCAGGTTCTGATAGTTCTAGAGTTTGAGAGATCCGAGAGTATGCAGTTTTAATTTTTTTTTTGTGTGTTCAGATGGTATCCTTGTAAGAACACCTCAATATATTCAAGTTTTAAATCGGTGATGCTCTTTTTTATATTTTGAGAATTATATCCAGATTTCCACATCAACTTCAAATGGATGTCTAAAAAATTTTTATCCTGGATGCCCTGGATGATTTTTAAATTTTCCTCATGGTGGAGGACCGCAACCCGAGTTTCTGCAACGCCGAATGTAATGCAATTAATTTTCATCATTTATTGATTTATAATTATTGTCACACACACACACATCACCCAATGAATTATATTTCTAGGCAAAGTCTAAATAATTTAAGACATGTTTCGTTTTCTAAACGTGATTTGTCTCTGTGTTCAATGCAAGGACATACTTGATATCAATTGCGATTTTTTTTTGGCACTGTAATTTTTTTTGGCTTTATTTAAACTGTTTTTTTTTTCACTTATTATTTGGTTTTAATTAAATTTGATTTGAAGTGAATTCTGTGAGAAATTAGATTGTACTGTTGCATTTAAATATATTGAATATTGAATATATGTGGGGTCTATGCAAACAGATGTTGGCAGAACAACCGTAATGACGTTACAAACGCATCAGACAACCAATAAATTAAGACAACGAAAAACACGTCAATGGAAGATGAACTGATTTTACATTTCGTTTACGAATGCCGCCGAACACTTAAGGGGGGTAAACAAATTGTTAAGGATTAGAGAATAAAATTGAGAATAAAGAAAACAGATATAGAAAGGACAATTTGGCATATACAGGGTGAGATAAAAAAAAAACTACAACAAAGTCAAAAGCCATAATTTTTAATTTTTTTTTAATTTTTTAATGTCGGAATTAGCATCAAATTTTAGAATAAGTTTAGACTTGTTCAAATTTGTCAACTTTGGCACGAATTATGGCCTTCAAACGGCCAATGAAACCGTCACACGCTGTCCGAATGTTGCTCTGCGGTATTTAGTGCCAACCTTGCTTTCCAAAATCCTCCAGACACAATAGTCCAACGGATTGGTATCCGTACATTTTGGTGGCCATTGTGCGCTGGAAATGAAGCGAGAAACCTCATTCTGTAACCATTCTTTGGTAACGCGTGCTGAGTGCGATGGTGCTGAGTCTTGTTGGAATGTCCCAGGTCTGCGTCCAAAATGTTTACGTGCCCAAGGCTTTAATACACCCTCCAGGATATTTTCGCGATAATATTCGGCATTTATTAATTAATTAATAATTAATACGAGCGGAGAGCGACCATCGGCTGTTATGGCGGCCCACACCATCACCATGGCCGGCGCTTGAGTTCTGGTGGCCAACCGAAGGTGCACATTTTCAGCTGACCTCTTTGGCAAGTAAACACGATCATTTTGTTTGTTCACAAACTGCTGGAAAAACGGATGTTTTCTCATCGGAGATTGGAGAAAACCAAATTCGGCAGTTCACCACTTTCGGCCAAGCGAAGCAACTCTTTAGCTCTTTTGAGGTTATTTCCTTTCTGTTGCGGTGTAAGTTCTTGCCTTTTTTGGAATTTTAATAGCTTTACACCGAGCTCATTTTTCAATATTTTCCGAATGGAATATTGCGATAAGTTCAGCTCACGAGCCATTTTTCGGCCACTGCGACGCGAGTTTCGATCAAGTCGCTACTTTACTTTACGAACCATTTCTGCTGATGTTGCTGTTTTCTTCCGTCCACTTCCTTGAAGTCGGGTTACGCTACCAGTATTACGGTAACGAATGATGTTAGGAGACCCTAAAGATTTATTCATATTTAAATGCTGGAGTGCTCTAACGATAGCCACTCGTTGTTTTCCAGCCAAATATAAAGAAATCACGCTATCACGCTTGAATTCCATCACGAATAACTTTTTTTTCTAGAAAAATCCCACCAAAATGCTTTTATACGCTTGTAAACAATATAATGAGCTGTCACTGGAATAATTTTAATAGCTGTCGGACGAGTGGCTTCAAAATGACAGCAGTCTAAAGTTGGTTGCAGTTTTTCCATCTCCCCCTGTATATTGTATTATATCCTGTCCATACCTTCATGTGGACATAAAATTATAATTTATCAAAAGCATGTGTATTTCTCCAAGATCCTGTGGCATTGAAAACGGCATCAAGATTTTGAAAGTAGCAGGTATTTTATGTAGATTATCCTTGTCCATTAGCAAACTTCTTTGCAATATTTGTGAATTTCTATCCTTTAAAATTATATCCATTTAAAATTACTTAAATTTTCTTGACTTATTAGACTTCCCTCCTTTCTGTGTTAATCAATTAATTGCAATTCTATAAATTTTATGAGATTTAAACAAAATTATTTATTAGCAAATTAAAACCACTCTCCTAATTAGATATCTACGCAAAAATGATCAACAACATTACAGCGATATTTTTGGATTTATTTTTCTCAAGAATAGAGGAAAAAAACAAATATATTTAAAAACTCCCCGATTTTAACGCTGATATTCATTGAAAATATTCTCTTAAAACGAAAACGATTATAGCCCAAAGTCCTTGAAAAAGTACCCTTATAAAATCATGATTATAGCTCTGATTGTCCTTAAAACAAATATGTTTCAGATGGTCCTTGAAGAATATTTTTACAAAATCCCTGCCTATAATCCTAATAGTTCTTGCACATTTTTTGTCATTGTCATTGATAAAGAGATTCATAAAAATCCACGTTTAACCTAAAAACAATAAGGGATTATAACTCTGATAGTTTTTGAAAGAAATTTCTTCAAAAAAAAATCGCGATTTTGAATAACGCTGATATTCCATAAAAAAATGTCTTAAAAAACAAGTAGAAAAGCTGTAAGCTCGGACTTTAAATACCCTCTACCATTTGGAACGAAATTGTCAATATTCAAAAATAAAAAAAAATATTAATTTTTTTTTTTTTAATTTAAAAATACTGAACGTAGACGTGAACCCTCACAGACAATTTTCTGTCTCAGGCTGTAGTATCCATTGCGAACTTCAAATGCTAAATTTGAAATATTTCCGGTGAATAATGTCGCTCAAGTCACCAAAATACTGAAAATAGGGAGGTACCGATATAGGGAGGCTATACGAAAACGTGGGCCCATTTTCAATAAAAAAAAGTCCTGCAGATATAAAACACAAATTCAAATACCAAAGTTAAAACAATTCCGCTGAATAATGTCGCTGATAACTGAGGTACCGAATATAGACAGGTACCGATATACGATTCCGGTGAATAACGTAGCTAAAATCAACAAAATACAGAACATAGGGAGGAACCATTAAATGGAGGCTATACTAAAACGTGGACCTACATGGCCCATTTTCAATACCAAAAGTCCTTCAGATATAATATACATTTGAGTAAAATTTTATCAACCTACTTCATTTCGTTCGAAAGCTAGAGTGATTTCCACTGACGGACGGACTTCACCAAATCGACATAGAATTGTATGCTGATCAAGAATATATATACAGGGTGAGATGGAAAAACTGCAACCAATTTAAGACTGCTGTCATATTCAAGCCACTCGTCCGACAGCTGTTAAAATTATTTCAGTGACAGCTCATTATATTGTTTACAAGCGTACAAAAGCATTTTGGTAAGAATTTTCTAGAAAAAAGTTATTCGTGATGGAACTCAAGCGTGGTAGTCTGATTTCTTTATATTTGGCTGTAAACCCACAAGTGGCTATCGTTAGAGCACTCCAGCATTTCAATGTGGATAAAACTTTTGTGTCTCGTACCATCGCTCGTTACCGTGGTAGCGTGGCCCGACGTCAAGGAAGTGGACGGAAAAAACCGCAACATCAGCAGAAATGGTTCGAAAAGTAAAGAAGTGACTTGATCGAAACCCGTAGTACCCGAAAGATGGCTCATGAGCTGAACATATCGTAATATTCCATTCGACTTATATTGAAAAATGAGCTCGGGGTAAAGCCATTGAAATTCCAAAAAGTGCAAGAACTTACACCACAACAGAACGAAAATAGACTCAAAAGAGCTAAAGAGTTGCTTCGCTCGGCCGAAAGTGTTGAACTGCTGAATTTGATGGTGTTGAGTGGGCCGCCATAAAAGCCGATGGTTGCTCTTCGCTCGTATTAAATGCCGAATATTATCGCGAAAATATTCTGGAGGGTGTATTAAAGCCTTGGGCATGCAAACATTTTGGCCGCAGACCTTGGACATTCCAACAGGACTCAGCACGCACCACCCAGAAATGGTTAAAAAATAAGGTTTCTCGCTTCATTTCCAGCGCACAATGGCCACCAAAATATCCGGATACCAATCCGTTGGACTATTGTGGCTGGAGTATGCTTGAAAGCAAGGTTGGCACTTAAATTACCAAAGTGTCGATCACCTCAAGCAAGCCCTTCGCCGGAAATGGGCCAAAATACCGCAAAGCAATATTCGGGCAGCGTTTGAAGGCCATAATTTGTGCCAAAGTTGGTGTCAATTCGAACAAATCTAAACTTATTCTAAAATTTAATGCTATTTCCGACATTTTTTGCGTTCATTCAACAAAATTTAAAAGAAAGAAATGTAAAAATAGTGGCGTTTGACTTTGTTGCAGTTTTTTTTTTAACTCACCTTGCAGTTTTTAAGCTGCAGGCTTATAGCTATGCTTGTCTCTGAAAATATTTTTAAAATTTCTCAACTTCTAAATTATTATTATTATTATTTATACCCTACACCACAAGGTGGTCAGGGTATTATGTCTTTGTGCATTTGTTTGTAACAGGCAAAAGGAAACGAGATAGACCCATAGTTCCTTTTGATGATCTGCATAGAATCACATTCTGAGTCGATTTATGCATGTCCGTCCGTCCGTCTGTCCATGTATTTTTGTAAACAAAGTACAGGTCGCATTTATTGCCCGATCCAGATGAAATTTTGCACAGATCATTTGTTTGGCCCAAGGACGAACTCTATTGAAATTGGAGATAATCGGTCAAAATTTAGATATAGCTCCCATATATATCTTCGTCCGATTTGCCTTCTATTGTGCACCAAACGTGTAATATCAGCCCGAATTGTATGGAATTTTGCACATACAACCAAATTAGGCCTGAAAATATGTATGCCAAATTTGATCGAAATCGGTTCAGATATAGCTATAGCTCCCATATATATTGTTCATCCGATTTGTTATTTTTGTCCACCGCTGCCGTAATATGCACTCTGCAACAACAATATTTAGGGAAATATATCAAATACAGCTCAGAAATACATTTGCTAAATTTTATCGAGATCGGTTCAGATTTGGATAAAGCTCCCATATATAACTTCGTCCGATTTACCTTTTATTGTGCACCAAACGTCTAATATTTGTCCAAATGGGATGGAATTTGGCACTTACGACCGAATTGAGTCTAGAAGCTAGTATGCCAAATTTGGTTCAGATCGGTTCAGATATAGCTATAGCTTCCATATATATTATTCATCCGATTTGTTATATTTGTTAACCACAACCGTAATATGCACTCCGTAACAACGATATTCAGAGAAATATATCAAATACAGCTCAGAAATATCTTTGCCAAATTTTATCGAGATCGGTTCAGATTTGGATATAGCTCCCACATATATCTTTATCCGATTTCAAATTTTTTGTGCACCAAATGGGCAATACAATTCCGAATTTAAAAGATACAAATGCTTCGGGATATTTAGTTGTTTGAATTTTAAATTATAATTATAATCATAGGGTGTATGATTGAATTCTCCCATAAAAACTTTTAATTGTTATGTGGAGCTCTACTAAATTAGCAAAGTGGTGTAGGGTATCATAAAGTCGGCCCCGCCCGACTTTAAGACTTTCTTTACTGGTTATAATTTTATTATTTCATTTAGCTCTAAACTCATTGGAAAATATATGCCAAAAAAAAATCTATAATTATTGTCGAAATGTTTATTTTTCTTGGGGCTACTTCAGGTTTTGAAAACATTTGCTTTCCCACAAAAACCCCCCTTGAAAAAGCCCACAAGAATCCAGTGCAGACGAACTCTCATCGTGATGTCAAAAATTTGCAACAAGTTCATAGACAGATCATAAATAAAAGTTACATACGGAATTGGCATATCAAGTTTTAATTAATTTTTGAAATACAATAATTTCTCATATAACTTGTTTGAAATCACTTTAAATATTAAAATATTGGCAATTAGACGAAATTAATTTATTCAGCCACTGAAATAAAATGGATCAATGCACTCGTCCTAATAAATATATTTATTATATAAAAATGCTTAGATTTAATCGGGATTTTTTCCAGTATGACTCGATTTGGACATGTTTGGCCCGGCATCTGGTTTTTCTTTGGAGGGCCATGTTGGGTAATTGCATTTTGCTTCTTTCCAAATTTTAATAGCGGAAAATAAATATAGATTTCAAAAAACCAAATCGTTTAAAAAGAAACACATTTAATTAATGTGAGTCGTAGAGCTTGTTGGCCAGTGTCCAGTGTAACAGATAAAGAGAGAATATTGCGAAATTCTTTGGGTAAATTGTAGCTTCATAGTTTGAAATACTTTCAAGGAATTTCGCAAAGGATTTGAAGTATTCTTTTAAATATACAGGGTCAGATAAAAAAAAACTTCAACAAAGTCAAACGCCATCATTTTTACATTTTTTTATTTTTATTTTTTTTAATGTTGGAAGTCCATCAAATTTTAGAATAAGTTTAAATTAATTCGAATTGGGCTCCAATTACGACCTTCAAACGGCCAATGAAACCGTCACACGCAGCCCGAATGTTGTCCTGCGGTATTTTGGCCCATTACCTGCGAAGCACTTGGTGATCGACACTTTGGCAATTTTTAATGCCAACCTTGCTTTCCAAAATACTCCAGACACAATAGTCCAACGGATTAATATCCGGAGATTTTGGTGGCCATTGTGCACTGGAAATGAAGCAAGAAACCTAATTTTGTAACCATTCGTGGGTGGCGCGTGCGAATGTGGAATGTCCAAGGTCTGCGGCGAAAATGTTTGCTTGCCCAAGGTTTTAGTACGCCCTCCAGAATATTTTCGCGATAATAATCGGCATTTATTCCGATGCCACGGTCGATTAATACGAGCGGATAGCGACCGACCATCAGCTGTTATGGTGGCCCACACCATCACCATGGCCCGCCCTTGTTTTCTGGTGGCCAACCGAAGGCGCACATTGTCAGCTGACCTCTTTGGCAAGTAAACACGATCATTTTGTTTGTTTACAAACTGCTAGACAACGAATGTTTTCTCATCGGAGAAAACCATCACATTCGGCCAAGCGAAGCAACTCTTTATCTCTTTTGAGTCTATTTTCTTTCTGTTGCGGTGTAAGTTCTTGCACTTTTTTGAATCTCAATGGCTTTACCCCGAGCTCATTTTTCAATATTTGCCGAATGGAATATTGCGATATGTTCAGCTCACGAGGCATTTTTCGGCCACGGCGACGCCGGTTTCGATCTAGTCGCATCTAGTCGCGGGTTTCGAACATTTCCGCCGATGTTGCTGTTTTCTTCCGTTCACTTCCTTGACGTCGGGATACGCTAGCAGTATCACGGTAACGATGGTACTTAGCCACTTGTGGTTTTCCAGCCAAATATAAAGAAATCACACTATCACGAATACGTTTTTTTTTTCCTGGGAGATTCTCACCAAAGTGTTTTGTACGCTTGTAAGCAATATAATGAGCTGTGTCTGGAATAAATTTAACAGCTGTCGGATGAGTGGCTTGGAAATGACAGCAGTCAGAAGTTGGTTGCAGTTTTTTCATCTTACCCTTTATCGGAATTGTTTCCTTTCAACGTATTTAGAACTCGTAATGGGTACTACAGCCTATGACAAACATTTGCGTATACAGGCCCACGTCTTCGTATAGCCTCCACATAATGGTACCTCCCAATGTTCGTTATTTTTATGATTTTAGCGACATTATTCACCGGAGTTGTTTCAACTTGCGTATTTAGAAAGCGAAATGGGTACTACAGCCTACGACAAAAATTGCGTATGCAGGCCCACATTTTGGTATGGCTTCCATATAAGGGTACCTCCCAATGTTCGGTATTTTGGTGTTGTTTAAAATTTCGTATGTAGATTTCGTAATGGGAACTACAGTCTATGAAAGAAAATTGTATATGCCGGTTCAGGCCTTCGTATATCAGTACCTCCCTATATTCGGTATTTTGATGATTTTAGAGACATTATTCATCGGAGTTGTTTCAAATTTCGTATTTGAAATTCGTAATATGTACTACAGCCTTGTGACAAAAAATTTTCTATGCAGGTCCAGACCGTCGTAGAGCCCCGATATAACGGTAGGGAGGTATTCGGTATTATGATGATTTTAGCTACATTATTCACCAGATTTTTTTTTAAAGTTTCGTATTTGAATATATTGTTATGGCCTATGACAAATGTTGCCTCTGCAGGTCCAACGGCTATATTCGGTATTTTTAAGATTTTATTAGAATTTTTAACGGATTTTATTTTTTTTTTTTTTGAAAATTTCTAAATTCGTTGGTTCTAATGATAAGATATTTAAAGTTCGGCCCGGCCGAACTTACTGCTTTTTTTACTTGTTCAAAGATGCTGTGTATCGTAATGTTATTGTGAACGGTTCGCCCTACCGTGAGATGAAATCCATTTTTTTTTGCCCAAAATGCAAGAACTTGACTTTCATGAGATGTACGCGTCAGATGGCCATTAAACGTCTTTAGACAATTATTTGTGGGTCTATATTAATGGTCATGCCTAGAAAGACGAGTCCGCTTCAATTGACACATTGGAAGATAACATTGAAATATTTATTCATGAGATACCAGTCAAAATAATGGATAGGGTATGCCAAAAATTAACTAAGCAAAGCGAATGAGGCGCAGTCGCTGTCAACTTTTGCATGAAATAATCTTCAAACATTAAATTATATGGACCGTACTATTAACTCAATAAAGGTTTCATGCCTGCAATTTTTGTTAACTTACCTATACCCTTACGATAAGATTTAGAAAAATCTGTAGAATTGAGGATGAGTTAATGTATAAAAAAACATAAATCGATTTCTTCCATTGTGAACACGTTTAAGTAATTTTTTTAAGTATAAAAAAAAGATTTTTATTATTTTCGATACTATACTTATATGATATGCGTATATAATACTCATATGTTTTTCCCCATTACACATACAATGCTTAATTATACATCTTATCTAAATCCACGATCCAATTTTTGGGTGACAATCTCCTCAAAAAGTCTCTACGTCTCATTTCAGGTGGCCGAAGTAAGATTTGTGGAGTTATACAAGTTGTCCCCCGAAGAATGGGAGAATAAACCGACAAATAAACACTGATATAGGTAATAGCCAAATGTGAACAGACATATGAATTTGAAGAGTTTATCCACACACCAAAGGCTGTAAAAGAGAAGGAGAGGAGAGAGAGAGAGAGAGAAAAATTAAAAGGTAAAAAATGAGAAAATTAAAATAAAAAATAAGTAATAAATATTTAAAATATTTTTTCTTTACAGGTTTTCGGTGAAAAGTATATCTATATGGGTCTTCTAGGGACGGAGAGCTTTCTGCACATCTTCTATGGCTACAAAACCTTTAACAAGTCTTCGAGGGATAGTATAACTCCTAAAAACGTGTGTTATATACATATAATATCTTCCACAGATCTTCTGTGGATAGAAACCTGGTGCAGGTCTTTCACATTTGGGAGATATTCTGCAGCTCTTTTATGAGTAGAATACCTCCTATGTGTGATTTATATATAGATGACCCTCTTCGACTCTAGAATCAGTTCTACAGCACTTCTATTGCTAGAAGTCCTTCTACATGCCTCCTATGGATGGAATATCTTCCACCTGGCTTCTATTTCCAAAATACCATCCACAGACCTTTAATTCCTAAAAGACCTTTCACAGGTTTTCTATTACATCTACAGGTCGTATATTCATATAAGACCTTCACCAAGACTTTAAGACCATTCAAGGGCCTTTTATTAGTAGGTCTTCTATTCGTAGAATACTTTCTACAAGTTTTCAAAACCATTCAAGGGTCTTCTATTCGTAAAATACCCTCTACAAGTCTTCAAGACCATGCATAGGAATAATAGGAAACCCATTCGAAGAACACGGTATACAAGACTTCTGCGGATAAAAAAATTCTCGAAAGTCTCTTTCCACTTGAGGTAGACCTTCTACATGCCTCCTATGGATGGATTACCTTCCACCTGGCTTCTATTTCCAAAAGACCATCCACAGACCTTCTATTCCTAAAAGACCTTTCACAGGTTTTCTATTGCCAAAAGACCATCTACAGGTCGTCTCTTCATGGGAAACCTTCAGGTTCATAGGTTTTCTATTGCTAGAAGTCCTTCTACATGCCTCCTATGGATGGAATACCTTCCACCTGGCTTCTATTCCCAAAAGACCATCCACAGACCTTCATTTCCTAAAAGACATTTCACAGGTTTTCTATTACATCTTCAGGTCGTATATTTATAGAAGACCTTCACCAACAAGACTTTAAGACCATTCAAAGACCTTTTATTAGTAGAATACCTTCTACAAGTCTTCAAGACCATTCAAGGGTCTTCTATTCGTAGAATACCTTTTACAAGTTTTCAAAACCATTCAAGGGTCTTCTATTCGTAAAATACCTTCTACAAGTCTTCAAGACCATGCATAGGAATAATAGGAGACCTATTCGTAGAATAATGTGTACAAGACTTCTGCGGATAAAAAAAAATTATCAAGAAAGTCTTCTTTCCACTTAACACCTGAAGTGTCTATTAAAGACCTCTTAAAAGTCTGAGATCTCCCTTTCCTTTACTCACATTTTCATGTGTCTCCTGGCCGCGGGAATTGTTTCATCGGGCATTTTCAGGATAAGACGGCGAGCACACATCAGACAATCGGTGAAATAGTCGATCAGATCAAATTCGATTTTCTCGATGCAATACGTCAGTCGTTCCCTGTTATTCATGAGCTTTCGAATTGCAACAACTTTTGAGTTGTCGAACTTCCATGAGCCATTGGCATAATAACCGATTACATCCAGACCTTTGGTTATTCTTTTTTGGACTCGTATCAAACTGGAAGGAAATCAAGAAATATTTACTCCATGGAACACCAATAAGAAGTTCACTACTTACACCGGGGGATAACGAATTAGCACCAAAATAAAGTCCACAAATAAGGCCGGCAGCCAATGGAACAGAATCATGGCTATCCAATGAAGATATATATTCGATTTCATTGAACCGCCAGGATACCAGGCGGCACCGTTCAATGGTATCCGGTTCTCAACAACCCAACGACCCATGTCAACAATCTCCTTCCACGAGATTTTTATTTCATTCGCACTACACATGTGAATTACGGGCGGATCGAGAGGTTCTAATTCCTTTGCCAAATATCTCCAAGTGGCTACCAGAATGCCATTCACTGCCAAGTCGACGGGCAGGAAATCACCATTGCCACTTTCTCGACAATACATTGTGCGGATGACACCCTTGCCAGCACCAATCAGAAGACCGGTGGGACCATTTATATTATCTGTCCATCCTCGCAACGGTTCCTGCCAAACGGGTACCACAATTGAAGGACGTAAAATCCCCGTAGGCATTTTATTAAATCTCTCCACGACCAAAGCCTCTGCCAATGATTTGGTATACGAATACGAATTGGGAATGTCACCCATAATTTTTTTCTCAACGGCCGCCATATCTTTGTCGCTCAACATTTCACACATGCTGATGATGCTATGCGGATCGGCTGGCGGATCATAGGGTTTCTCGAATAGATGTTTAATGTGGACATGACAATATGTTGTGGAGATGTACCAGAAGAGGTCCAGTTTTTTAAAACTGCTGGCCAAATCCAGGCAGTATTTGGTGCCGCGCACATTTATGAAAACGGCTCGACGTAGGGGTTCATCAAATCTGGGAAAAAGAGAAGGAAATGTGCAAATTTTAATTATTTATTTTTATTTGAATAATTATTTGAATAAAGCTTTGCAAAACTCACCTCACTGTTGCGGCACAATGCACCACAAGTGATACTTCATTCCGAAGGATTTCAAGATCTTGTGGCGATATACCCAATTCAGGTTCCAAAATATCTCCAGCAACCAGTTGGATTTTAGTAAAGATCCAGTCTAGTTGATGTTGTTGCTTTACTTTATCGAAAAGCTATAAAGAAATATAGTTTTATTATACTTTTTATTATAAAGAGGGGGGAAACGAGTGAGGAGAGGAAATGAGAAAGAAGATGAAATGCCAGGCCAATGCAACAACGCCTGACTTGAGTGGACATAATTCTCTCCATACTCATATTGAAACCCATTGAAAAACAATGTAAAGAGAGTAACCAAGTGGGAGAAAAAAAGTGCGACTCTCTGAGACACATTGTAAAACAATGTCAACAGAGAGTAAACAATTTGGGAGAAATTAAAAAGGGCGGCTCTCTGCCCCGACCTGCTTTAAAAAATAAACATTGTTTTTATGAAGTCTGTGATAAATTGTCTTAGGGACCACGTAGGTGAAGACATGGTATATGGAAAATGACGGTGCAAGTACCGACGGGTGGCATGAATCTGCTTGAGAAGATAACAATTACATTGGTAATTGTAAGGTAATAATATTAATATTACTTTAGCATAGAAAGCACCTAACTAATATTTTCCATTCTTAGCAGGTGAAAACCCTTTGTTATAATCTAGGATGTCAGACAACGATGCTATCTGTCACCCTTGCTCTGCTTGGTTGTAATCGGTGCCGTAGTGAGACGTGCCTACCTCAAAAAAACTTTAGTTATTGTGGGGAATTTACTAAAACCTAATAAAAGGTTGAAATCGGTGAATTACGCCGACGACAAATGGGAACTTTTACAAAGGCTCTGTGATCTGCAGCGAAAACTCAATGATTTTGCGAATGAATCAAGTAACGTGGGTCTTAAATTCAACGCTGCATAGACCAGTGAAATGAAAATAAAATAATTCTATGTCTCATACAGGGTGAGATGAAAAAACTGCAACCAACTTCAGACTGCTGCCATTTCTAAGCCACTCGTCCGACAGCTTTTAAAATTATTTCAGTGACAGCTCATTATATTGTTTACAAGCGTACAAAAGCATTTTGGTGAGATTTTCCAGAAAAAATTTATTCGTGGTGGAATTCAAGCGTGATAGCGCGATTTATTTATATTTGGCTGGAAAACCACAAATGGCTATCGTTAGAGCACTCCAGCATTTGAATGTGAATAAATCTTTTGTATCTCAGACCATTGCTCGTCGCCGTGATTGATGACTGTTGGTGACGTCAAAGAAGTGAATGGAGAAACGGAAAACGGCAACATCAGCAGATATGGTTCGAAAAGTAGAGAAGCGACTTGATAGAAACCCGCGTAGCCGTGACCGATAAATGGCTCGTGAGCTGAACACATCGCAATATTCCATTCGGCAAATATTGAAAAAGCCATTGAAATTCCAAAAAGTGTAAAAACTTACACCGCAGCAGAAAGAAAATTGACTCAAAGGAGCTAAAAAGTTGCTTCACTTGGCCCAAAGTGGTGAACTGCCGAATTTGGTTTTCTCCGATGAGAAAACATTCGTTGTCCAGCAGTTTGTAAACAAACAAAATGATCGTGCTTACTTGCCAAAGAGGTCAGCTGAAAATGTGCACCTTCGGTTGGCCACCAGAACTCAAGCTCCGCCCATGGTGATGGTGTGGGCCGCCATAACAGCCGATGGTCGCTATCCGCTCGTATAAGTCGACCATGGCATCAGAATAAATACCGAATATTCTCGCGAAAATATTCTGGAGGGTGTATTAAAGCCTTGGGCACGCAAACATTTTGCCCGCAGACCTTGGACATTTCAACAGGACTCAGGACCATCGCACTTACGACGTGCCATCCAAGAATGGTTAGAAAATGAGTTACCTCGCTTCATTTCCAGCGCACAATGGCCAACCAAATCTCCGGATACCAATCCGTTGGACAATTGTGTCTGGAGTATTTTGGAAAGTAAGGTTGGCACTAAAAAATACCAAATTTGATGATTTAAGCTCCGCTATAGACCAAAATTGTTCTAAATTTCATTTTGGAAGATGTTAATGGGTAATACAACCTATGACACAAATTTACTTATGCAGGTCCACGCCTTCCTATAGGCCCCATATAACGGTACCTCCCAATGTTCGTTATTTTTATGATATTAGGGACATGATAGTCCGAAATTGTTTCAATTTTCGTATTTAAAGTTCGTTATGTGTACTATAGCCTATGACAAAAATTTGCGTATGCAGGTCCACACTTTTTGACGATTTTAGCGAAGTTATTCCCCAAATTTGTTCAACTTTTGTATTTAAAGTTCGTAATGGAAACTTCAACCAATGACAGAAAATTGTCCATGCAGGTCAAAGTCTTGGTATACACCACATATAACGGTACCTCCCTTTTTCGGCATTTCGATTATATTAGCGGTATTATTCAACGGAATTGTTTTAAATTTCGCATTTGAAGGTTCTAATGGGTACTACAGCCTACGGCAAAAAATGCGTATGCAGACGAAATTTTTTAAAAAATTTGGAGGGTATCAAACCCTTCGTTTTTACTTTTTTATTTTAAGTTTAGCTTACTCTCCACACATTACTTACCACATTTGACAATATCTCTCTGATGCGTTCTTCGGGAGATTTGCCCTTTTTCGGTCTCACCAGCAAATAGATTTTTTTCAAATCACCACAGGATCTGGGAAATGAAAAAATAATGAAAAATTAACTATCATTCACAGATGAAGTGAATTAAGGTTGAATACCTACCTCAACAACTTTTCGACCAGAACTTTTCCCAAAAATCCCGTTCCACCAGTTATAAATATCGATCGACCCGCCATGCACTGAGCAATGCGATCGACTTCGTTTTCATTGGCATGATCGATTTTCACAAATCCTGGATCATTTTCAAATTGAAATTTTGGTCTCTCTTTGGCTTTGGTCAGCAGTTTGGGGGCAATGGGTATTTTGTCTAGCATTTTTGGAGAAATTAGCTGAAAGTTACAACAAAATATATATTTTTACAAATGGTGATTTAAAAAAATTTAACAACAATAATTTCTTTAGTCGAACCAAAACAAAGGACAAATCAAACGTCGTTTATAAGGTTAAATGTAAAGGGACGGGTCCAACGTATGTCGAAAGGAGTATCCGATTTGGTCCAAACTTGGTACACCGTAATATTATTGTCAAACTTAGATCGAGTTCGGAGATGGGCAATATCGATCCCCTCCTTTTGGTACCTTCTCCACAAAAGCCCGAAATTTTCAAAAAATATATTTTTTGCACAGAAAAAGAAGCGATAATCCAATTTTGCTTTAACTTTGGAAATCCAAATATTTGCGTGAGTTGTAGGTCAGGTGTAAAAAATGGATAATATCGGTCCACTCCAACAAGTACCTCCCCCACAATGGGTCAAAATTTTTAATAATTACAACTCTTAAAAAATGTGATGTAAGAGTCCAATTGTCTTTCACACAACCCAATACTTTTATTAACTCAAGGTCTGGTGTTAAGATGGAAAATATCGGTTCACTCCTTCTGTTACATGCCCCACAAAAGATGGAAATTTAAAAAAAATATATTTTTTTTTCTACACAGAAAGAGAAGCTATAATCCGATTTTGCTCCAGCTTTGCATATCTTAATATTTGCGTCAATTGCAGGTAAGGTGCAAAAATGGATAAGTACTTCCCCCACAAAGGGTCGAAATTTTGAAAAATTATAACTCTTATAAAACGTGGTGTGAAAAAGTATCCGATTATCTTCGAACTAAACACATCACAATATTTTAATTAACCCAAGGTCTGGTGTGAAGGTATCAGAAGGAATTGTCCGACCACTACCATATTAAAAAAAATCTTGTGTTGTTGGAAATATTAAGATGCACTATGTCTGAATGGAATCGGATGTTAATTTCGCATTTTATGAGCTTCATGGTTATTCAAAATTGTGACCTTTGTTTCGGAGGTACCAGAAGGAATAAACAAATATTCCTTTTTTGCTTTGTGGGTAGGTACGTGTTACCTTGAGTTTGCCAATGATTTCCAATTTATTTTAATTAAACTATACCATCATGGCGGAATAATGTCCTTGAACAGGGTGAGATGAAAAAAAAACTGCAACCAACTTCAGACTACTGTCATTCCTAAGCCACTCTTCCGACTGCTGTTAAATTTATTCCAGTGACAGCTCATTATATTGTTTACAAGCGTCCAAGCGGATGGAATTCGAGCGTGATAGTGTGATTTCTTTATATTTGACTGGAAGACCACAAGTGGCTATCGTTAGAGCACTCCAGCACTTAAATGTGAATAAATCTTTTGTGTCTCGTAACATCACTAGCCAAACGTCAAGGAAGTGGACGGAAGAAAACAGCAACATCAGCAGAAATTGTTCGAAATGTAAAGAAGCGACTTGGTCGAAATCCGCGTCGCAATGGCAGTGGCCGAAAAATGGCTCGTGATCTGAACGTATCGCAATATTATATTCAGCAAAAATTTAAAAATGAGCTCGGGGTAAAGCCATTGAAATTCCAAAAAGCACAAGAACTTACACCGCAACAGAAAGAAGATAGACTCAAAAGAGCCAAAGAGTTGCTTCGCTTGGCCGAAAGTGGTGAACTGCCGAATTTGGGTTTCCCCGTCTCCGATGAGAAAACATTCGTTGTCCATCAGTTTGTAAACAAACAAAATGATCGTGCTTACTTGCCAAAGAGTTCAGCTGCAAATGTGCACCTTCGGTTGGCCACCATGGTAATGGCGTGAGTCGCCATAACAGCCGATGGTCGTTCTTCGCTCGTATTAATCGACCATGGCATCAGAATAAATACCGAATATTATCGCGAAAATATTCTGGAGGATGTATTTAGGCCTAGGGCACGCAAACATTTTGGCCGCTGACCTTGGACATTCCAACAGGACTCAGCATCATCGCACTCAGCACGCGCCACCCAAGAATTGTTACAAAATGAGGTCCCTCGCTTCATTTCCAGCGCATAATGGCCACCAAAATCTCCGGATACCAATCCGTTGGACAATTGTATCTGGAGTATTTTGGAAAGCAAGATTGGCATTAAAAAATACCAATGTGTCGATCTCCTCAAGCAAGCGCTTCGCAGGGAATGGACCAAAATATCGCAGAGCAACATTCGGGCTGCGTGTAACGGTTTTATTGGCCGTTTGAAGGCCATAATTCGTGCCAAAGGTGATCAATTCGAAAAAATCTAAACTTATGCTATTTCCGACATTTTTTGCTTTTATTCAATAAAATTAAAAAAAAAATGTAAAAATGATAGCATTTGACTTTTTTCCAATTTTTTGTTTATCTCAACCTGTACATAGATTTGAAATAATGAAAAAGAAAATTAAAATAATTATTTTTTTTTATAAAAGAAACTGCGTCACAAAATATAATAAACTGAATATTCAATTGTGATTTTATAATTTGCATGAAATTTTCCTTAATTGAGATTTACAATTTATTTAGCGTCGGATTTTTATGCGTCTTTTTATTAAATAAAATTAAAATAAATTTTTAAAACACAAATATCTGGTTCTAATTATTTTTTTTTTCTTCAAATACACAGATAATATTTGTAGAAATTGTTAAATATCAATGTATTCGAGATGGGGATTTCCAAGTGGTCAAGTGTGATATTTGAACATTTATTTATTTATTATTTTTTTAATTAACATAAAAATGGGCGCACATTTGTTCTGGAATATTCATATTGCAACCGAAAAGGATTTTTTGCAATTCGAAAAGTTGTATTTGTTTGTTTCACAAAACTTGGTAGCAGATCACAAGTGCTGGGCCCTCCTAGGCCTATTTTTAATTTTTCTTAATATTAAAATTTTGCTTGTATATTCCATTCTGAAATATTTTTCACACTTTTTCCACAGCCTTGGAAAAAATTGTACTTAAAAAAATATTTTCACTTTATTTAAATCGATTACTACCACAGGACATACTTTATGCTCCTCTGTCCTCTTAGCGCCTCAATTCTTTATTTTCTTTACGTCGTTTTTTTTCCAATTCAATAACAATATAGTTTCACTAAAAACCCGAAGTTACCGCATCGACCAACAGGAGTGCACTGGCCAATGAATGCCATCAAAGTTGGCTATATCTAGAATCGCCGAAGACAAAAACCGGGAATATTTGAACCATTGAACAAAGTAATAAAATGAATATAAATTCAAAATTGCCATAGTTGTATTTATTGCATTTGAAATCTAGATTAAGGAAACTCAATTACTTTCAGGTTTTAGGAAACAATCTGCATAGTATCACATTGAATACAAAAAGTATTCTTATGTAAGTCTTGTTTTAATTCGAACAGAATCAAGTTTTGAAATAATTGCAAGTAAAAAGCAGAAAAAGTAGGAACTAATTTGGTTTAAAATCGCAAATCATCTCCTCGTTGCTGTTTTGGGAATTGAGAACAGTCGATATGTGAGGTTCAATGTACTGGTATAAATTTGGACATAGGAAACATATACATATAACCAGTAAAGAAAGGCCAAACAGGGCCGACTTTATGATACCCTACACCACCTTGCATATATAGTAGAGCTAAATATAAGAAATAAACGTTTTTTATGGGGAATTAAGCAGGTATAATATAAATTTGGTGCACAATAAAAGGAAAATCGGGCGAAGATATATATGACAGAGTTCGTCAGTCTGTCCATGTATTTTTGTATATAAAAAACAGATCGTATTTATTGTCTAATTAAGATGCAATTTTGCAAAAACATTTATTTGCTTCAAGGACAACCCCTATTGTAATTGGGATAATCGGTCAAAATTTAGCTCTCATATTCAGGGTGAGATGAAAAAAAAAAAAACTGCAACCATCTTCAGACTGCTGTCATTTCTAAGCCACTCTTCCGATAGCTGTTAAAATTATTCCAGTGATAGCTCATTATATTGTTTACAAGCACACCAAAGCATTTTGGTGAGAATTTTCGCGGAAAAAAGTTATTCGTGAGGGAATTAAAGCGTGATAGTGTGATTTCTTTGTATTTCGCTGGAAAAACAAAAGTGGCTATCGTTAGAGCACTCCAGCATTTAAATTTCGCTCGTTATCGTGATACTGGTAGTGTAGCCCGACATATATCAAGGAAGTGGACGGAAGAAAACAGCAACATCAGCAGAAATGGTTCGAAAAGTTAAGAAGCGACTTGATCGAAACCCGAGTCGCAGTGGCCGCAAAATTGCTCATGAGCTGAACCTATCGCAATATTCCATTCGGAAAATATCGAAAAATGAGCTCGGGGTAAAGCCATTGAAATTCAAAAAAGTGCAAGAACTTACACTGCAACAGAAAGAAAATAGACTCAAAAGAGCTAAAGAGTAGCTTCGCTTGGTCGAGGGTGGTGATATGCCCAATTTGGTTCTCTTCGATAAGAAAACATTCGTTGTCCAGCAGTTTGTAAACAAACAAAATGATCGTGTATACTTGCCAAAGAGGTCAGCTTAAAATGTGCACCTTCGGTTGGCCAGCAGAACTCAAGCGCCGAGCATGGTGATGGTGTGGGCCGCCATAACAGCCGATGGTCGCTCTCCGCTCCTATTAATAGACCGTGGCATCAGAATAAATGCCGAATATTATCGCGAAAATATTATGGGGGTGTATTAAAGCCTTGGGCACGCAAACATTTTGGCCGCAGACCTTGGACATTTCAACAGGACTCAGCACCGTCGCATTCAGCACGCGCCAACTAAGAATAGTTACAAAATGAGATTCCTCGCTTCATTTTCAGCGCACAATGGCCACCAAAATCTCCGGATACCAATCTGTTGGACTATTGTGTCTGGAGTCATTTGGAAAGCAGGGTTGGTACTAAAAAATACCAAAGTGTCGATCACCTCAAGCAAACACTTCGCCGGGAATGGGCTAAAATATCGCAGAACAACATTCAGACAGCCTGTGACGGCTTGAAGGCCATAATTCGTGCCAAAGGTGACCAATTTGAACAAATCTAAACTTATTCTAAATTTTGATGCAATTTCCGACATTTTTACTTTCATTCAATAAAATGTAAAAATTATGACCTTTGACTTTGTTGCAGTTTTTTTTTATCTCACCCTGGACATCTACGTCCAAGTTACCTTTTATTTTGTGCACAAAATGTGTAATAATCGTCTTTTATCCCTTTACTCAGTTATTCTTTTAAACTGAATAGCAAAACAAGTCTTCGTTTTTTCGGGATTTGGTCATTGAATGGTGAACTGGTCTTTGAATCTGGCGCCCAACGTACGAAAGTTGCATTTTATCTCTATGAGAATGTAAAGTTATGTTATATATGTGTTCGTTTTCTATCTCTCCATTCAATTGTCCATTTAAACCGCCTAGATATTTATGAAAGGCAAAATAAATTTACGTCTTTGGAATTTTTGTACGTCTTTGGAATTATGTACGGAATCTGGCGCCCAATGTATAATCTTATACAATGTATCTGGCGCCAATTTATTATTTTTGTCCTTCACTTCCGTAATATGGATTCCATAATAATGATATTCGGTGAAATATATCAAATACAGCTCCGGAATACCTTTGCCAAATTTTATCGAGATCGGTTTGGATATAGCTCCCATGTATATGGTAAGATAAAAAAACTGCAACAAAATCAAACGCCATAATTTTTGCATTTTTTTTTTTTAAGTTTATTGAATGACAAAAATGTCGGAAATAGCATCAAAGTTTAAATGTGTTCGAATTAATCACCTTTGGCACGAATTGTGGCCTTTCAACGGCCAAGAAACCGTCTCACACTGCCCGAATGTTGCACTGCGGTATTTTGGCCCATTCCCGGCGAAGCGCTTGCTTGAGGTGATCGACACTTTGGTATTTTTTAATGCCAACCTTGCTTTCCAAAATACTCCAGACACAATAGTCCAGAGGATTGGTTTCCGTAGATTTTGGTGGCCATTGTGTGCTGGAAATGAAGTGAGGAACCTCATTTTGTAAACATTCTTGAGTGGCGTGTGTTGAGTGCGATGCTGCTGAGTCCTGTTTGAATGTTAAGGTCTGCGGAGTGTTGTCATGTCCAAGGTCAAAATATTTGTGTGCCCAAGAGTTTAATACTTCCTCCAGAATATTTTCGCGATAATATTCGGCATTTATACTGTTGTTATGGTGGTCCACACCATCACCATGGTCGGCGCTTGAGTTTTGGTGGCCAAGCGAAGGTGCATATTTTCAGCTGACCTCTTTGGCAAGTAAACACGATAATTTTGTTTGTTTACAAACTGCTGGACAACGAATGTTTTCTCAACGGAGAAAACCAAATTCGGCAGCAACTCTTTAGCTCTTTTGAGTCTATTTTCTGGTACTTTTTTGGAATTACAATGGCTTTATACCGAGCACATTTTTCAATATTTGCCGAATGGAATATTGCGATATGTTCAGATCACGAGCCATTTTTCGGCCAGTGCGACGCGGGTTTCGATCAAGTCGCTTCTTTACTTTTCGAATCATTTCTGCTGATGTTGCTGTTTTCTTGCGTCCACTTCCTTGACGTCTGGCTTACGGTGTTACTAGACACAAAAGATTTATTTACATTTAAATGCTGGAGTGCTCTAACGATAGCCACTTTTGGTTTTCCAGCCAAATATAAAGAAATCACACTATCACGCTGGAATTGCATAACGAGTAACTTTTTTTCTGGAAAATTCTCACCAAAATGCTTTTGTACGCTTGTAAACAATATAATGATCTGTCACTGGAATAATTTTAACAGCTGTCGGATGAGTGGCTTAAAAATGACAGCATCTTTGTGAATTTTTGATAAATGATATTTTTTTTGAAATATTTGTAGAGTATCATCGGAGCTATAATCGTGGATATGTTAACAGAATTTTTTCAAAGGCAATAAGAAAATATTTTCCAATTGTTCTGGTAATCTTTATCGTGGATTTTTAAACAATATTTGTCGTAAGCCCTTGTTTTGGATTATTACTATTTTTTTTCTAGAACTGCCATAGCCAGAATCGTGATTATTGAGTAAAATAATAATCGCGGAATATTATTGATTTTTTTTTCCAAATTACCGCTTCGTCAAAGTAAGCCTCTACTGTCATGGTATTCTTGTTACTCTCTTAACATATTCTCCTAGGCTCCTTATCAGAGGGCTGCAATGAGTATGATTGAGTAGGCTTGATCACACACAGTGGAAATACAATCAAACTCAATCAGTCGGTCAGATGCAACATGTTCATTCGAGTTACTCAAGTCAAACGAAAAAGTTGTGATCAAACATGTATTGATCGAAGTTTTGTGATCGCAATCAAACAGCTCACATGAGTTATTTGTTTACGAACTTATGTTGAATTGTTCATAACGGGTCGATTATCTATGATGAGTCTGATCGGTTTTATTTATCCTAGTTAAGTGAGTGATTTGATTTGATTAAAACACAAATGTTCGAATTGGAGCGAAATCATGATTGTAATTTTACTAAGGATTTCATAACTAAAAGATGTCCCCATTAAAGAAATTGGTACAAATTATATATAATAAGCATACAATTTTTCATTTTATTTGGGTTTTTGGTATGCTAGACTTCAGTAACTTATTTGAAAAAAAATTAAATTTTTTAATAAAGAAACACATCATTGGTATTTAGAAAACTAAAAATGTTTAAATATTTTTTTTTTTACAATATTGGTCAAGATTTTTCACAAACTTCGACCTTTTCGTTTACCTACACCTGTGTAGTTTCTACTTGCAACAATTTCGGTCGCACTATGACAATATTCTTCCATTTCAAATATTAAAAAAGTCAAAATAAACTGTCCCAACTTGATTAAATGGTTGAATAAACAATGACGCTGAGCGAACTCGATTCAAAGAAGACAATCACGGTTGTGATTGCTCATTTACATTCATGTGTTCGATCAACTCATGTTGCTGAACACATCAAACCGTCTCGAACGCTCATGTTTAATTGTGAGTGAAGTGATTCAAACTGAGCGCTCGATTCGATCCGAAGCGAAAACGGTCATTTCATTCAGATCAAACTAAATGACTGCATCAACAAAAATCATGTAAGAAACCGAGTGTGCTTGAAATTTTGCATACTCGTTGCAGCCCTCTGCTCCTTATATTTAAAGAACAGGATTCACCA